AAACCTTGTCATGAAATGATTACTGCTTAAAAACAAAGCAAAGCTGAGTTTTTCTTTCATCCCTAAGTCACAGAGGTACTGAAGTGTACAAGGCAATAATTATTAAAATAATACTGCAGTTCTCATAAGCTGAAACATTAGGATTACATGGGGACTGAGTACACAAGTCTCAAAATGGGTATTCAAGACCCAGAAATCACTAGAGGAGCACAGATGAGTACTCCCAGCAGATGACTTCTCAGTCATCTTTACTGAGCGTGAAGGCCCCAGATTGCCAGCAATCACTCATTTCTGAAAACTGTGCCTACCCTGAGATTTAAAGGGTGCCTGGATCCCTGCGAACATTTCATCTCTTGTTCACTGAAGAGATGATACCTGGCAACACAGACCTATGTATCACACTGTGGATTTTACAAGCTTTCTTCTAGTCATTCAACAATTCACAGTATCTCACTGGTACTTTTCAGACATTTTGAGTAAAACAGTCCAATTCTTAAACCTCTTCACAGACTTCTAAAATATTATATGGCAATTAGGGTTTTGTATTGGTCTCTGTAAAACTGTCAGTCACAGCAGACTGGTTTATCCTACGGTCATTCTACATCTTCCCCAAGATATGAACTCACATCAACTACTGCACATAACACATCATAAATTTTAGCTCGTCGTAGTTATTGTTAAAGCATCTATTTGCCATATTTTCAGATTAAGTTCAATGTGGCTAAAGCAAGTGTTTATACAGAAATATTGAAAATGAAAAATTTAAGTTGGTTTAAGTTTTGTTTCCTTCCTGTATGTTCACAAAAACACCTCTTAAAAAAGCCCTTTGGAGTGCATTTACTGAGAGTTCTAACAAACTACAAACTTATCGTTTGTAGTATTTACTCTGTTCTCTGGTTCACTATACTGAAAAATTGTAGTGCAATATTTGCATTGCACAACAAATTGGGTTCAAGTTGTGAGTGACCATGAGGATTATTATTCCTTTTAAAATATTTCTAGTAGCAACAAAATGGTCACGGCAAGTTGTCACAAAAATTCCCGGAAACGGGGACCAATGTTAGCAGTCCTGGCAAAGAACCAAAAGCTGAAATGTAGCACCCAGTCTAGAATCTGTTTCTTCAGCAGAAAGTTGAGGCACATTGTTAAATAAGTTGATAAAGGATTTCCACCTTCAGATCTATCAGAACAGGCTGATGTAAATAATCAAAGCTGAATTCCACCACAATATGAACCTTTGGGTGTGCACTGGAATTGTGTGCTACCCCTAGGGAGGAAAACAAAGTGTAGAGGGTTGAAACAAACTTGTTTAGCCAGTAAGGAATAAGAAAGATAATTATAGAAACAAACATATATCATTAATTTTGAACATCCTGAGTTTGAACTGCAGCATCTAGACTTCTGGAGGAGTGTAAGATGTGATCAGATGATTCAGATAAGCCTCCTTAACTTAAGATGATTATTTCCATTTTTTTTGAGCTTGAATTTTGTATGAATATATTTCCTTACATTTCGTTTACTGGAGGTTGTATAATCTACTCCCATACCTGTTTTCACCATGGTTCTGGCTACTCATGTTAGTGGCAAGTGAAAGCATTAGAAACAAACAGAAAAGGTGGAAATAGGTTCAGATATTCTTCTGCATCACAGGGTTAGCTTGAGTTGATCTTCTGTTTTATTTGAAATTTACTGGCTCTATCTAAGTGTAAAAGGTGTAACCTTGGAATTACATGAACCTGAGAAGGTTTTTTGGTTTACCTTCCTCTTCTCTCCAGTTCTCTCCCTTCTCATCCTCTTCTTTCCTCCTTTTTTCTTTAAATTTATCTTCTTTTGAAACTGTTTGATGCATCTCTGCATGTGAAATCTAAGGCACTTGGAGCATGATTTTTGCCTGTTGCTATTACTCAGCTCCTGCAGATTTCCACTATAGCTGGGAAATCTCAAGAGAAGGAGTTAATGGCCATTACTGGAATGTGATTTGACTAGGTCTGTTTTAGTGTGAGCCCACTTCATTTTTCCTGACTGTGTTTTATTGTATATAACTGTCATCTGTTAGCATTTTATGTGATTTCTCTTCCCCAATGACATACATTGCTTTTAGAAAAGATTTCCTTAAAATCTCACTATATATTAAAAAGAGGAGTAAAAAACTCAATTCTGTTCTCAGTGAGTCAAATTAGGAAAACATTGATGCCCTTCAGCCACCTATTTAAACAACATTAGCTCAAAAAACCCTATCCTATTGTTCAATTAGATTCGAGAAATAAAAAAATAGTTTCTTGTTCTGTACTAGTGCATGAGGCACTCATATTTGTGGCTTTTCAGAATTCTTGCACAATGTTTTTCTGTATTTTGTTTGCACAGTAATTTCACACAGAAGGAAGTCACTCCTGGAATCAGTCATTCATGATGTAGTCATCTTCTCATCACTATCTCCTAATGTTTAAAAACAAACATGTGAGGTGCTAGAAATGTCAGCAGTTTTGCTTATTGAGTTACACTCCTGAGCATTTTTTTTAGATTTAAAATCCTTTTTTGTGTGTGTGTGTACTGATGTGAGCTATAAATTCAAGTTAAACTGAATATAAATCCTCGTTAGAATTAAATCTGTCATGGAATGTCTTTCTTCTTTTCTTCTCTGTCTTGGTACACAGCAAAGCACTATAATGAGGTGTTCCCAGCGTTGGGCTGGGAGTCAGGAACATTGAATGCTTACCCCAGTTAAAGGACTAGTGTCCTTCTCCTTGCTATGGTAAGTCAAGTGATACCATCTCTCTATGTAAGTGTAAACTACTTTTATAACATAAATAAGCACATAAATGTCCCTTATTATTTGTGTTTGATAAAGACTAGGTATGATGGTAAACCATCTAATTAAGAAGAAACAACCACTAACCATGCCTTAGGAAATGACACATTGCATTGCACTTATGAGCAAGGTTAAAGCCTGTATCTTTGGTAAAGTAAGTGGGTCAGATAAGCCCTGAATGTTTAGAAAGCCAGTCAAAACTAAATGTGAAACCCGTATGGGTTTATTCGGAATATATTAATAATTCTTACTTCTCTTAGATCATGGAAGTGACTTTACTGGAATATTTATTAGGTAGAAATGTGTCTTGATGAAAGAGCTGAATGAACAGAAAATAGCTGCTTAATACACATCATCATGTAGCTAACTCATTCACAAAATGACTGTAAGCAAGTGGTAAAAACTAAACTGTTTTTTTGTTGTTTCTTTTTAAAACAATGCTTCTGATTTAATTTCATTTTTAATGCATGGTAACCAATAGTAACCCATGTGTTCCCACATAAACCAGCTTATATCATGCAAGACGCTGTTTGCACTCATACTCATAAAACAGACTGTGCAGGGGTGGATGTGGAATTTAGTTCTGATAACAGGGTAGATGTGTGATAAATTAAGAATGTAAGTGGCAAACTAATGTCTCTATGTCAGCTGAGTAGGAAAATTGTCAACAAGTGTGCCTGTAATTCCCCTATGAATTTCATTAAATGGTGGGTTTGTTGTAGAATTCTGATGGACTTTCCTTGATGGTTATTGCAATCAGAATGGCTTCATGTCAGGGTCTCCTTAATTCTGTGGGACATAAATATCCTAGTTTTAGGGTAAGGACTGCTGGCACCTCTCCTGTAAAATGCACCCAGGCAGGGTTATCCAGTGGTATTGTCACCCCACGCCTGGTTAACCTCGAGAAAAGGAGGCTCAGTGGAGTCCATTGATCGTTACTATTGTTTGTATAAAACTCTGGTGTACCATGCAAAAAGTCAAACAAATTAGCTGGAGATGTCTGGTCAAGGAGCTAAATTGCTGTGGCAGCTAAACCAAGTCAAAAGAAGCTGTGGGCAGGTCAAGAGATGTTCATGCCCGGCCAAGCCTCTGTCCTGGGGCCTTGCAGGCTCAGTGCAAGGGGGGCCTGTCGTGAGCATGGCCACACTGCATGGCAGGGCTGCCCACTGCCGCTCACACTCCTGCCTTCCTCGAGAAATAGGGGTGCAAACTGCTACATCTGCCTTTCCTGTTTATGCCCCACTATGATAAATGTTTTCTAGCTCAATTTCAAGAAGAAATGCTGAGGTACAGAAAATTTTGTAAAAAAAAAAATACTTAAGATATCTATTCCACAGAAAGAAAATCTCACTATTAACTATGTAGAACTTTTTATGCAAGAAAATAAAAATCTTTATCTGAAAAATGGTCAATTGTTTTAAAGGCGCTATCTAATATATAATATAGTGGCTCTGAACTTTATTTTAATGAGAAGAAACCATGCATGGGTTCACTCAGTGTCTTATTTATCTTTTTTGCCTTTCTATCAGTCTCCAGTAAGTAAAATGTAAAGTACAAGCATGCAAATCCTACCTAGCTCTGAAGTTTTTGGCATTTGAGTGGGCTAGGCATAACGATCACTGCAAAGCCTATCTTCCCATCTCTCACATTTGAATGTGACTATTAAGACTAGTCAAAACACTGGGAAAATAGCAGCAATTTCTATTCCAGACACATTCAAACATATATCTCCCAGGCTTTTCTTTTTCTCCCAGAAATATTTTGGCATACCTTTTTTGACTCTCGTCTTCATAAGAGAATTTTATTTTATAAATTGTCATGGTTCTGATTATGGTCAGAGAAGTTTACCTTTGTAAAAGTAAAGACACTTCTACAGAGAAAGCTACTAGAAACTTGTTTTATAAGTAGGTGTCATTCTGGGTTAGAGAAAGCTCCTCGTAACTGGAAAAAAGGGCAAGATCAGAATAATAAATAAGTACAAACAGAAGCTGAGAGTGGGTTTGATTAATGTATGCAACTGGCTACAAGGGTGAGAAATAGCAGTAGATGTAACCACAGACATATTTCAAAAGCATTATTTGGAAACATTGCTTTGGGAACCAAGTTTATACAGCACTGTTACTGATTTATTTCTGAAATTCCTGGAGAGAAGAAACCACATTAAGGTCTACAAGATGCCGACTCATATAACTAGAGTTTCAAAATATATTTAGCAATGGAATAATACAGAGTGCAGAAGATACTACAGAGAATGATACAAAGTCCAGAAACAGATACAGGTGAAATTGTTTCCTTCAGTCTGAAAGATTATATAAGATTTTTGTTTCTCTCCCTCTTCACTGCAGCTCTGTACTGTGCTAAACCAAAGGACCCACTAAATGTGCTCCAGAGACTGTTTCAGATGAAACCCAAAATGTCCATATATTCAGGCCACAATGTCCAGTTCCCCAGCAGGTTTCCTTGGCTCCTCCTCAAAAGCTCTGTGGAGGACCCCCCATGGCAGGACAGCAACAAGCTTTAAGGGTGAATGGATACAAGGATGAAGCAGGGATATGGAGAGGTTCCCATCTGGCATTACTTGAATTAGTCCATTCCCACCTGTGGGGTCTCCATGGGAGAGATGTAAGCAGCAGCTACATGTGGTGTCATTTATGGATCTCGTACTCTGTGTGAGCTCTGAAGCAAGATCCAGGCAGGAATTTAGGGCAGCCACGCAAAGCCTCGTGGCAACTAAGAATAAGCTCGTTGGCGAAGTGCAGATGGTTTCAGACCTCATTTTCCATGGGTACAGAGAAGGCACCATGATGCTTCAGAGATTTTGTTGGTCCTTTATAGATCTTATCCAAACTGCACAATCAGGAACTCTTTAAAAACAAGAAGAGTCTTTCCATGACTTGAGCAGATGCTGATGGGACCATCAGGTGAGGATGGACACTTGAAAACTTGGAAAGAGTGCAAACCCCTAAAATTAATGGGACATGAGTAGAAGCTAAGGAAGAGTAAAGAAGTTTTACTAATCATAGCATATCTCCCACATGAATAAATCCATCTTCAGTTTCCTTTTCTACAGATCCAGCAGCTTTCTATGAGCTGCAGACACGCAGAATAACAGGCAGAGTATTGACAATAAGAAATTCCCCTGGAAGCCACTAAAGCAAAACTTCTACATGCAATCTGTCCTCCTGAGATCCCGGGGAATTTGGCAAACACACCTTGAGATAATTTGTTAAATAAAGAAACAGGTGCTATTCTAAGCTCTACAGTTTTCCAAGACAGATTACCAAAGAAATAATTTAGAAGACAGGACATAATTGGAATAGACTTTCTGGCAAATGTTGCATTTTTAGCTTATATCTGTCACATTTTCCAGGATTATGCTTTCCATACTGCCAGCTGCTCCGTATTCTCATCATGGTGCAGAAAACTATGTTGGTAAACATTTAAACACAAATGAAAGTGTTTTCCTGGCTAAGGGCTTGAATGTTAAAGCCTTGCTGAACTGAACCCTGGCTTAGCTGCCTCAGCCTGTTTTCCCAGGTGTCACTGCAGACATGACACCTCTGTTGACAAAATACATTCTTTACTTGCTGTTTGGAAGTCTTGCTCACAAACTCTAATGGGAGGTCCTATTTAAAATAAGTACTATTTATGCCTGGACATAATTTTACTATTAAACTTCTGGATTTTTTCATTATATCCTTTCATTACTGTTTAATTGAGGAGCTCAGATGATGGCATATGCAGGTAATGATTGCAGATAACAAATGTTTCTCAGTTTTTGGTCTGAATATATATTGCATTGAATTCAATCCCCTCTGTGCTTATCTACCACAGAGATATTAAGAGAGACAGTGGTTTGGGGATGGAAACAGAAGAATTGTTTTTACGGATATAGTATCTTCTATCTTTCTTCTTTTCTTTTTCTCTTTCTTAACAAACTATATAATTTAAGCTGCAAACAATTTTCTCTCCTAGTACTCTCCATAAGTCTTCTCATACTCAGAACTTCTTCAAAGTTACCACGTAAGCTGAAATTCTTGGTTTCTGGCCAAGGGATAATTTTATTTCAAAGCTTAAAATAAAATCCAATTTTTGAAATCTGTAAAGTTATTCCTGTTTAAAACCAAATCTATATATGAGTTGTTTTCATACACATAACCCCTAAATGACTGAATAGTAAATTCTGGAACTCATTATAGAAATAATCCTTATTAAGATGTATACCACAGTAAAAGTGATTCGCTATTAAGAAGTTAAAATGTATTCAGTGGGTATAAAAGTGGTTAAAAATGGTTGGATATTAATAGCAAGTAATTTGGAACTGCTTAATTTAATTTCTGAGAAATGAACTCTCTGGAGACAGTGGTGGCATATTATGGCATATTGAGTTTATCTGGGCGAAACAGAGGCACCTGAGATCTACATTACGACATCAAGGAGGCAGTCGTGGATCTGTATCACAAAAAACACTGGCAGACAGGAATAAGCCTTGTTAGTTATGGTAGACATAGAAGTTAAGGATTTGGCCCTAAAGATTTGTCATGACTTTAATCTCATATGCTACATTACATTAGACCTTTATTAAGGTTTTAAGTAATATTAAGTGCATGCTTTAAGTCTTTAAGACAGCTTAGTGAGATGTTTTAGCATTTCCTGAAGAAAACAGGAAATAAAATGGAAAAGACCATTGCTAATGTATTGTTTATTTTTGTTGCCCCAAAGAGCTTACAAATACCTGATATGTTTAGTCAGTACAATATGGTCTGTGGTTTGTAGTTAATTATTTGGGTTCAATAAAAGAGTAGCAATATTTGTATTTGTATTCTAAGGACCTCCAAGCATTTTACCACTGGTAACCTTTCCTTCTTCCAAATTCTTACCTTTCCAGAAAATAATTTCTTTACTACATTACAAAACAAAATTGTAATGCTCAAACATATTTGGGGTGACAGCCCTCACAGGCTGCAGGAGCAGATTGTATCACTTACCTTATATAACAGAAGCCAAAAGGTGTCTTTTCAGTATTAGTTCGGACACTAAGACAGTTCTTGGTAGTGTAAATATCATTACATGGGTCACACACCTCATCTTCTTTCTCAAGCCACTACGAGCTTTCTCACTTGTGTTCTTGTTGGGGTGTGGCATCTCTCTGGCCTCTGACTTCCAAAAATACACCCAGGCTCTCTGCACTTCATGCAAACAGTTGCCCTGCATTTGTCATCTTTATTAATTTGAACATAAGCTAATCCCTGTGCTGGTTTTCTATTTGAAGCATAGCAGGCTTCTTGTCTCTCTGTTAAAGATGATGTGTAATTCCAGCCTTCCCAATTCGCTTCCAGACCTCCTTCAATTCTGCCTCCTATTCACAGCAACTGTAGAGCCTTTTTGGGCTCATAGCTACAGCCCTTACTGAACTAGGTAACTGCAAGGGCTCTCAGTAATTCATCTGAGATGGTCAAGTTGACTGTAATTTTAATCATATATAAAGTATTTGGTGGCATTCTCCACTCCCTGACATTTTTGTGCCTGTTTGCCTTTCCTGTTGGATCTCTTTGGGCAATGCTTTCGCAGATGGTTTGAAAATATTGGCCATCACCACAAATAAACACGAACTACTGGTCTGAATATAGAATTATGTTATTGATTTTGGGGGGGTCAAGTGTTTATTTTTCTGCACAGAGACTCAGTTTGGATGCTTAAATTTTGGAAGAATGTCTCTTAGGCCTATAAAAGTAGAACCAGAGGCATTATTGAGGATAGCAGAAGAGGAAAAATGATTGCAGACTCCTCAATGAACTGTTTTCCCTTGCCTGCATCAGTATCTGCTATGCATCTAATTGAAGCCTTTTTAGTGTTAATCTGCACTGTGAAGTCTTCTGTGTCTTCATCAGTTTTTGGAGAGGAAAAGCAGAGTACACCCTCTCATAGGACGTACACAAAATGGCCAAGAGATAAGTGATCTCTTTGATCATTGTGAGTACAATTCATTCTGGTTTGGTGACACGGTTCTCTGGCTTTAGCAAACATAGGCATGGTTCAGTAGGTTCCCAAAGTGCATTATTATTTGATAATATATTGAATAATACATTGATTAGTTTAGTAAGGCTTTCTAGCATTATCTGATTAGTTGTTCTTAATTGTTCTCTTTCTCATTCTTTCTCCTTCTACCTCTTTTTCACTCATGAAAAATAATCTCAGGGAATTAAATGAAAGTGGAATTCAGTAGATAATCCTCAATCTGTTGCAGCAGGCAGATTTCTGTTTGGATTTGAAGATATCTTGCTATGGATTAACAAAAGCTTGCTATGGATTAAATAGCATGACCAGAACATGCTATTTGAGTTACACAATATAGCACTGAATCACTATTGAAGGAAAACACTTGTTTTCTCAGATCACCCACTTTTTTCTGGGGAATTCTGGCAGAAGGTTATTTTAGGTATGTATGAGATCCTCTTTAAGATGCATTTCTCATCAATGTACAGAACCAGAAGTATTTTTCAGTACAACACAGAGCATTCAAAAAGCTTAAGATGATAAATAGCTCAGAAAAAAATCTAACCTTTCATCTCAAGGGTTCTCACCAAAGTCTAAGATGACATTCAGTAAAAAATACAATTTCATACATGATTACCTGCTTCATTTGGAAAGAGTTAATGCAAGCATAAAAAGTAAATAACTTCTTATTCCATTCCTTCCAAATACTCATTATTATCCTTCATTTCTTTTAAATATTTTTTTCCCATATATTGATCTTTTATTTTTGGTAATAATCTGTACATGTTGGCTTAGGTATTGTAAAAATGCTATTTCTTAAATATTTTCCTGTTTATCTGCAAACAGATGAAAGTTCTATCTTGTAAGAGTAATATTTAGTCTCATATACAATGGCCAGATTTCACAGCTGTTGTACTTCAGTGAATATGTGTGAAAATGTCATTCTACTAAATCTGAAACAATAGAAGTGATCCTCTAGGTGTAAAAATCTGACACAGGAGTGTTTTTCTTCATTAATGGTGATAATCCGTTGCACTGAGATTGTATAAATTACTGAATTTCTATTACCTGCTCTTACTTCTCAGTAACCACAACGTAATCATTACCCCGGGTCAAGCCACCAATATATTGAGCCACGTATTTTGCATCTGGCAGATGTCAATAGCAGAAACTAAGAGCAAAAGAAAAGGGCAGAAATATCCCTGCCAAAATCTCTCCTCTTCCTGAAACATGAAGATAGAGATTTCCTGTAATGGAATGTTAGCATTCAGTTCAGTAGATTTTGAAATATTTTTCTTCTCTTTGAATCTATATAAATACTGGGCCCTGCATTACCTCACTTACTAAAAAAAACCAACCATTTTCCTAAGTTTTCAGGCAGCCAGGGATCATTTCATTGGGTGCTCTATGTCATTTACATAAGAGAGAACAAGTAATGCTGCTATAGTCAACTTTTTCTATGTTGCTTAGGACATCACATGAAGAAACATTATGCAGCTGAGGTAGTCATTTACATGGGAAGGTGTTTGCTACATTTCTCTTCTTATGCAGTCACTGGTGGTTTTCAGCAGCATTAAAGCCTCCTTTTTTGACAGCAGTTGTGTTAAAAATATTACTGTTATATAAACAAGAGGATATCACCGTGTGACAGACTGAATACCCAACATTCAGTCTGATGAGACTTGTATATTAATTTCCTGTCATAACTATAAAATACCCCAGAATCACACTAGATATAATCCTCACTGTTCTCTCAATACTTTTGTCAACCTACCACCTTCGGCCCTCTTTTACCTCAGTTTTGTCAGCCAGCTGGCAGGTGTTGGAACTCGTGAAAATATGTACCCACTATCTCCCTCTTCCCACTCTTTTTTCATATGGATGAAAAAAAATATACGGCTTTTTCCAAATTTCTCACATTGAAGGAGATGGTTACACATTCTGATATAAATTAAGTTCTAACCA